CTTTGCCAAAGTACAATGTTACAAACCCTACAAATTAAAAGCATAGAGGGACTTTTATAATATCATAAAAAGTATCTAGCTAAAACCACAAGCAAGCATCATATACGATGGAGATGACTTGGAACCTTTCTCAACAACTGGGAGGAAAAGCAAGGATGCCTTCTTTCCCCACTATTCCTTTATGTAGTTCTGTAAATGATTCAATAATAATAAAAGAAGGAGCATAAATTAAAAGCATAAAGAAAATTGAAGAAAAAATAAAAAATCTTCCTAGTTGCTTATGATATGAGGATTTACTTAGAAAATTCTAGGGAATGAGCAAAGATACTAATCGAGACAGTTAATAGCTTCTGAAAAGTTACACACTACAAAAACACTCAAAAATAACAGAATTTTTATATAACAATAACAAAATCCAATAGGTGACAATAAAAAAGGAAATTCCTTTTCAAATAACTACAAAATGGATAAAATACCCTAGGATCAAGCTACCAAAGCATGTAAAATACCTGAATAGATTCAATTATAAGTTGCTACTTCAAGCAAAATAAAGAACAACATAAATAGCTAGAGGAATAGTCAGTGCTCATGGCTGGGCTGTGCCAGTATAATAAAAATGACAATACTATTGACCTTAATTTATTGTTTTAACACTGTACCAATCAAATTATCAAAGGGGAGTTTTCCAAATTCATGAAACAATAGCAAAATTCATATAAAAAAGATTTATAGTATTAAAAGAAATAATGAAAAGAGATGGGGGTGGGAGGAATAGCACTTCCAGACTTCAAACTATATTATCAAACAGACATCATTGGCATTGGTTAAAAAGTAGGGAGGTAGATCAAGAAAACAGACTAGGCAATGGAGAATCAGGAAAAATAAAACTGAATAACCCAGGGTTTGATAAACTAGAAAACATAAATTACTTATGAAATAACTCCCTTATCTGATAAAAACTTTTGAAGAAACTTAAAAGTTGTCTGGCAGAAATTAGCCTTAGATCAATACTTTATATTATATTCCACATTAAAAATCATACATCTAAATGGATACTTAACTTTAATATTAAAGATCATTCTATAAAAAAAATTAGAAGAGAAGCAGATGCTAGCCTTGTCTCAGCTGTGAGTGGGAGATATATTTTTAACCAAACAAGAGATAGAGGCAGTCACAAAAGATAAAATAGATAACTTTGATTGCTCAAAACTGAAAAGCTTCTGTAGAAACAAAATTAATGCCTCTAGGATAAGAAAGGAATTTGGCAACTGGGAAAACAATCTTTGTATCTGATTTCTCTGATAAGGGTTTGATCTCTAAGAAATATCAACAATTAATAGATCTAATGAGAATGGCCAAAGCTATTCTCCAATTGACAGGTGATCAAAAGATATGAAGAGATGACTAATGTGGAAATGTGTTTAATATGACATATATATTAGCCTATATCAAATTGCATGCTATTTTGGGGAAGAAAAAGTAGAGGGAGGATGTGAGAGATGATCTCTCAGAAGTGAAGCCTCCTCAGGGGATCGATAGTTCTTGTTAATATTTCTTGATTGTTGCTTTCAAAATCCTCCCCCGCTCAGACCCTGTTTTTAAGCAAGTAACAGAAAGAATAAGCCTGCCCCCAACCTGAACTACTTGCCCTTAGCTTCCCACTTTCTCTTTCTCTGGGATAAGGGGTAAGGGGGTAAGGGGGGGAAATTGCAGTAAGTTTCAGTTTCCTAGGAATTACCTAACTCATGGGAATTCCTAGGAATTACCTAACCCCCTCCTGATCACCACACCACTGCTATGTCAGCATTAGGTTTACTAAATAAGGACATGTATGTTTGGATTGGCTATACCCTGTTTCCTTATGCTTTGTCTTTGAATTTTCGTGCCTAGAATGTAAGCCCGCCTCCCAGCTAATGGGATAGGAAGATTTTCTTTCAAGCCTAGACTGTGAGCTCTGAAGCCCAGCCAATGGAAAGAAGAGCCAGTGGTGGTGGTTAGGATCTATATAATCTGCCATGCTGAACACACTTCTGCTCTCTTCAGTCCACCATCTTTTGGGTGCTCTGAGGGAGCCCTTTCTTGAGAAAGCCAATAAACGAACTATTCTTTTGCTAATATCTCTGAGTCTCTGATTTATTGGTAAGGGTCTTCGTACCCCACAGAAAGGGGGAAAAATTTAGAACTCAAAATCTTGTGAAAGTGAATGCTGAAAATGAAAACTAAATACATTAATTAATGTAAAAAAAAGAAAATTTAAAAAAAATATGAAGAGTTCTACAAAGAACTGCAATCCATTAACAACCTTATGAAAGAAGGCTCCAAATCACTAATTTAAAAAAATTAATTATATCTTACCTTTAGGTACACATTCTCTCCCTTTACCCCACCACTAAGAAGCAAGAAAAACCAAAACCTACTGCAAACATACATAGTCAAGCAAATTCTCACATTGACCGTAATGAATCCTCTGGAATTGTATGGTTAATCATTGTGTCTATCAGAGTTCCTAAGTCTTTCAAGTTTGTTTGTCTAATATTGTTTTTATTGTATAAATTGTTCTCCTGGTTCTACTCACTTTATTTTGTACCACTTCATATAAGTCTTCCCAGGTTTCATTTAATCTATCCATTTTATAATTTCTCACATCATAGTATTTCATCACATAAATATGAAAACTTTTTCAAGCATTACCTAATTGATGGACACCATCTCAGTTTTCAATTCTTTGCCACTACTAAAAGAGCAGGTGTAAATATTTGCACAAATGAGACTCCTTTCCTTCCCTCCCCCACCCCCCTAGACTTAGTAATATCACTGTGTCAAAGGATATACACAACTTAATGGCTTTGGGGGCATAGTTCCAAATTGCATTCCAGAATGACTAGACTACTTTCTAATTCCACCAAAAATATGTTAAAGTACCTATTTTCCTTTTTTTGTCGACATGCTTATCTGATGGATATAAGATGGCACTTCAGAGTTATTTTAATTTGCATTTCTCTGACTATTTGTGATTTAGTGAATTTTTTTTTCACATAGATATTAATAGCTTTACTTTCTTCCCCTGAAAACTGCCTATTCATATACTGACTGTCTATTTATTGGGGAATAGTTCTTATCAAATCACTAATAACAAGAGAAATGTATTTCAAAACAACTCTTAGGTTTTACTTCACACACTGAAAATTTGCAAAGATGACAAAGGATGAGAATAGTCAACACTGGAGTGGTTATAGGAATATAGGCATTCTAGTGAATTGTCGGTGGAGCTGTGAATCAGTACAACTGTTTTAGAAAGTAGTTTAGAATTATGCAAAAAAGTGATTAAAATGTTTATGCCTTTTGACATGGAGATTTAATTTTCAGGCTTAAGAAACAATTGATAAAAATAAAATCCTCATAAACTCCAACATTTTTATAGCAGCACTTTTTTTTTGTGATAGTTAAAAATTTGAAACAAAGTAGATGCCCATCAGTTGAGGAATTGCTAAACAAACACAAATAAAATGGAATATTACTATATTGTAAGAAATGGTGAATGTGATGAACACTAGAAAATCATGGAAAGATCTGCATGAACTGATGCAGAATGAAATATGCAGAGCAAAGAAAACAACATACACAATGACCACAACAATGTAAATGGAAAGAACAATTATACACACAAATTAAATGTGAAAATAATTATGAGCAAGCATGGCTCAAAAAAGGAGATATGAAAAGACACTGACACCTAACCCCTTTGCAGAGACAAGAGGTCCACAAGTGTTGCACATTGTGCATATTTTTAGACTTAAGGTATTGATCAGTTATGCTGATTTCCCCCCCCTTCTTTGTCTTTGTAAAATAGTATTTGTTATATCAGATGCTTCCTTGGGACCTCTGGGGGTACAGGTCCTGGAAGAAATTATGGTGATAAATAAAAAAAATTTTTTTGAAAGGTATTGTAACACCTCTCAATTTAGTTGTCTCTAGGGGCTAAAGTTCTGGTTCTTGAGGTGCCTCCCTCATTGTTTGGCCATGACACAAGGATCTAGAGCTCTTCTTTCCAGCCTCTGACAACAGACCAGATGGATAACCAACACCAACATAGGAAAGCTGACATAAGCTAAATTAAAGTTATATTCTGAATAAATATCCCTGCCTTGTCTTCATGTCCTTGGCTAAATCAACCTCCTTTTGCTAACTATTAGTTTGACTACAACTCTCATTTTACTGCAGTTTCAGACCTAAAAAGTACCAGGGGACTAGCCCACATCAGTCTCAGCCCATAATAGTAGAATAACCCTACAGGAGCCTTTTCTATTGTTTTATAACCCTGTTTCCTTTTATTGAGTTCATTTAATTCAATTTGCCATTTACAAAAGAAGAAAATGAGGCCGGAGAGTGGAAGAAAACTTCGTAGCAATATCAGAACACCTCCCCTCTCCAAATAAGATAAGAAGCGCCTCCTCCCCTTCTCATGTGTAGAAGGTATGAGGAATGCTCACTGAAAGCTACCAGCAAAGAATTCTAATCTGTTCTCTCCCATTGTAGCCTATAGCTGGAACTAATCATGCCGCATGGGCCATTGTTTCATTATCTGTTGAATGAGACTGTGTACGCTGAGGTTTCCAAAGGTTACACTTCTTGATTTTCATTATTTTAAATTGTAGATACTGTTGCAAACAGCAGCCATTTGTTTCTTAAACACCAGCCATTTGAGACAGTTGACCATTAACATCCCTTCTCCTGCTCCCCTATCCCACCTTCTTCTGCTTTGGAAATAATTTCCTGGTACAGAAGGTGACCCCTGTTCTGTGTTTTGTAGAGCCTGAAGTGCCTGGTTGGCTTTATTTTCCCCTCTCAAGCAGAAATCAATCTAAATAATTTCACCCGTGGAGCGTCAGCAATCTCTCACTTACTAGGTAGTTCCAAAAAACCCCAACACTGTTATTGTTGCTTATTTTTAAAAAATGCCCTCATTGCTAAGGCATTCTCATTGCCTTTCTTAGGTCTACTGGAATGGGTACTGCTGTCTAGTGATGCATGGCTTGTGTGTAACTCCACGAGGGAGGAAAGGAGAAATTCAGTGATATAATTAAACGTAAGGTGAGTGTATCATCTCTGACTCTGAGAGGTCATATCAAAGATTCAGAGCTGGAAGGAACCCTTAGAAACCATCTAGCTCAACACTTTCATTTCATAAATGAGGAAACTGAGACTCAGATAGAGGAAATGATTTGCCCAAAGTCATACAGGGAGCCAAGGTAAATTCAATTTAATGTGACATTTAGTCAATACCTACTATGTTCAAGGCTCTGTAGTAACAGCTTGGGGCACAAACATGAAAAATGACATAGTTCTTACCCTCAAGGAGTTTATATTCTGATAGGAGGCATGATATATATACAAATGAGTCCAATAGAAGGTACCACACTACTACTTTCCCCATAGAAAGTAGAAAATAGGAGTTCTGATTCATTGGGGAAAAGCTTTACTGACTTTACCATTTTGCCGAGGGCCCACAACAAACCTTGGAGGACCTAGCAGGTTTACTATCAAAATAATGCCAAGGAATAGAGGCAGAATTCACCTGTTGTACCAAGTATGTAAATGACTGATTACAGAGCTCTTCCAGAGAAAAGGTTTGACAAGGTCAGGATAGACAGAATAGAGCTGAACTCCAAAAGCTGGGTTAAGCACTCTGGTAGGAGCTGGGAAGAACATTTGTTGCCTTTGGAGTCAGACAATCTGGAGCCATGGAATTTCAGAGCTGGAAATGGCTTCAGAGGTTTCATCTCTACTGGAGAAATCCACTGCTCCTTGAAGATTTACAGTGAAAGCCAGGAGGCACACTGGATAGGGCACTGGGTCTGGAGTCAGGAATATTGGAGTTCAAATCTAGTCTCAGACAATTACTAGCTGAATGACCCTGGGTAAGTTACTAAACCTCTATCTGCCTCAGTTTCAACTATAAAACACGGATAATAATAATAACAATAATAATAATAATAATAATAACAACAACAACAGCAACAATACTTACTTCCCAGGGTTGTTGTGAGGATCAAATGAGATAATGTTTGCAAAGTACTGGCAACCAGTAAGCAATAAATGTTTATTGAATGACTTTTGGGGGAGATGATTCCTCCCCATAGCCACTGCCATTTTTGTATTTCACATTTGGACTGTCTATCATCCTGTACCACTGTGTAGCAGAAATCAACCCTGTTTGTCATCCCCAAGGGAGTCTGATCTCTTCCTACCTCTCTCCCAAAGCAGCTGTACCTATAATCAGCCTGTATTTTACATTGTTGCTGCCATTATCTAGTCAGACTTTTGTTTCCTATGGTGCTCTACTCTACTCAGGTTAAAAAAAAATTCTAAATTGTAGCTCTGAATAGTCAGATTGTCTGACTAAGTGATTCTTTGGGTGCCTTTTAGCTCTAAGATCCTAATTCTTTGTTTCCAAGGCCAAATTTTCTTGACTTCCACATCTGGCCATTGGAGAAGAGGTTCTTTTGCCGAATCTAAGTGCTGCTCTCTTTCCAGGCAAGGTTTTGTTTTCCACATTGATCGATCCATCCATCAATCAATCAAGAAGTCTTTGTTAAACTCTTACTATGTGCCAAGGTGTTGGGGATACAAGTAAAAATAATGAAACCATCCCTAGTGCCCTCCCTGAGCTGTCAGGAAAGCTAGATTTTCTTATTCTGCTAGCCCTGCTCCCTGGCCTTACAGGAGACAAGTTATTACCATATAAATTGGATAAGGTCTTGGGTAATTGCTGACTGATTGGGAAGCAGAGAGTGCTAGGGAACTATTAAATGCACCTATCTCTGCTACCTACTTTTTGTAGTTGTGGGAGGAATATTCCAGCTGTTTGCTTTTTCTACCATTTCTAGAAAGATCTTGGGAGTGTAGATTTGAAGGAGAAAGGAACATTAGAGAATAATCATCTATCTAATAAATCATGCAACAAGTATTAATTCAATGTCTACCACTTGTTAAGAACTGTGCTAGATGTTAGGAATAGAATACAAATATTAAAACGAGATGGTCGCTGAACTCAAAGGACTTATTCTTCTAGGGGGATTTGTTAAAGACAAGTAAATACAGGATGTGTAATAGCAAATATGGTGATTAGAGGTGATGGAGCACTAAAAACCAGGGGAATCAGGAAAGGCTTCTTAAAGTAGATAGCACTTGAGCCGAGCTGTTTAGTTTTTCTTTCTCTGACCCCAGGTCACTGAATCACTATCATGGGAGATGGACATTTCTAGCCTTGGAAATTACTTCCTGAGTAAGCTTCTTAAGAATAGGAGCCCTCTTGATTTTTTTTTTTTGTATTTGTATCCCCAGTGCCTAGAGCAGTGCCCAGCACTGAGAAAGTAATTAATGATTGATTATTGGTTGATTTAAGAGGTCCCATGATGATGCTGCAAAAGAAAGTCAGTCAGTCAGTAAACATTTATTAAGCATTTACTGTGTGCCAAGCACTGTGCTAAGTACAGGGAATTTAAATATGAAAAAGAAAGTAGGTGGGAAGTGAAGAGAAGGCTAACTCTGCCCTTCTTAAATAGAGCCCTTCACTCCACCCTCCAAGCAGAGGGATTCCCAGGGGCAGAAAGTATTAATGAGTTGTAAGTACCAAGAGATTCTGCAGGATGATAAAGTTCTTGGGGGTATGATGGAGATGTTCAAAGGAATGCAGTCAGTTGGGAAAAGGGCCAAGAATGTTCAAACTATGCCCTGGCTGGCCAGAGAACTACATTCTGTGAGTTGGACAGCACAGGTTATGGTTGAAAACAAAGTATTTGGTCAACAGTTTGACAAGTTACAATTTTATGTTTTAATTATTCGTGCATTTTTAGATACTATAAATATTTAGATGCTTAGAGATTAGGTACTTTTAGATACTTTAAATACTATTTTTAGATACTTTGTTCCCCTCCAGACTCCATCCCTGACTGTTTATAAGTTATCTACTATGTCACAAAAATCTCAATGTAGATGTTTATTCCAGCCTAGGACTTCTCGCACAGGGAGTGTGCTCCATATCGACCTGCCCCTTCCTCTGCTTTTCTTGGTTCCTCCCAAAATCTGCATTTTAAGGAAAGTTCCCCTGCCAGCTATGTCATCATTCTTCTCCATGCTCCACTCCTGATCCTTTAGATTGTCTGTACCTATAGCTCCTCTCTCTTTTCAGCTTCCTTTTATGTGTTATGTCTCTATTAGAATTTAAACTCTTTAAGGGACAATCTTTCTTTCTGCTTGTATTTGTAGTTCCAATGCTTATCATGTGCTTGCCACATGGTAAGCACTTAATAAATGCTTATTGACTTGTATTGATTTTTTATTTTTTAGAATTTTATTTTTGTGGTGGAGGAAATAAATAGCTATTATACATCTGATAGCTACTTTGTACATAGAGTATTTTTCTACAAGTGACCCTTTTAGTTTTTTTTTGGGGGGAAATTGAAGACATGAGTCATGTCCAAGCCTTGTTTTAGAGATTTACCCTCCAAATTCCAGGAGTGGTAGGGGGCAGAACAAGCCAAAGAGAATGAGGAAAGTTTGATGGCTTTAGAAAAATTCAATTTTATTTTGTTTTCAGTTCTGAATTCTCTCTTTCCCACCTTTCCCTCCCCTACCCATTGAGAAAGCAAGAAAAAAAAACAATACTCATTATAAATGTGTACAGTCAAGCAAAACAATTGATGCCCTTCTTTGGGGGTCAGGCTACCTTCAGTATTGAACCCAGTCCATGTGAACCCAAAATCAGAGACACTTGTATTAGGGAGCCCTATGGGAGCAGGGAATAACATAGGGAAACATCTGAAATCATATTTGGATGTGTTTGCAGGGACCCACTGAATAAGTGAATAAAGAAATTTTTAAAAAGCATATAATAAGAGTTTATTATTTGTCCAGAATGGTGAGGTACAAATATCAAAGCAAGGCAGTATCTGCCCACAAGGACATTACATTCTGACAGGAAAATATATCATACATGGGGAAATGGTATCTAAACAAGATATTTTGGTCTGTAAAATCACAGAGATGGTTGAACAGAACAATGGGGCAGCCAGGAGAGCTGAGTGACATTTCCTTTCCAGAAGCAATGGCAGAACAGATTCAACATTAGCAAAATAAGGCAATGGAAAGGGCACTGTTGAGTAGCTTACAGGGGTCCAGCATCCTCATCTTTAAAATGAAGGGTTTAGATTTTATAACGACTGAGGTTCCTTCCAGCTTTTGCCTACTATGATTTTCAGAGCAAGAGGTATAAAGGGGCAGAGAGAAGTGGTGGTATGAACACGTATGATGGCAGAGTAGATAATGGCCTGGGTGAAGATGAGGATGCATGGTCCCAGGGAGTTCAGAGCTAAGTGGCTTTGAACTAGAGAGGTTCATATATAAGACATATTTTGGATGGTTTTGTATTTGCAGGACATCATTGGAAAACTTTTCATCTGGAACCTCCATCTTGGACACCCTAATATTTGGAAAAATAAGTTTATTTCCTTTCTTTCATTTTCAGACTGCAATCAGTAAGTTTTGAGATGCATTTTCTTTACCAGCAAGAGTAATTTCTTTAAATTAATTTTTGCATGGTTGAATTTTTAGGTCCTGATGTCAGTTGTATTACTATTGTGTATGCTGTGGTAATGAAGTCTGATTTGAGCAATATGGATGCTGCTTCCCTAGAAAACTGGTACCTAAAACCACATAGAGGATTTCTGGTTAAAGGGTTGCCTCCTGATTCAAGAGGCCAGAATTTAAGAGCATTCGGTGAGATACTATAGAAACTTTCAGGAGATAACGACAACAACAACAAGAAGAGAGAACATTTCTATAGTGTTTTAAGGTTTACAAAGCACTTTGCAAACATTATCTCATTTGATCTTCACAACAATCCTCAGAGGCAGGTGCTATTTTTCTTTCTATTTTACAGATGAGGAAACTGAGGCAGCCAGAGGTTTTGTGACTGATACATAGTTACACAGCTACTAATGTTTGAGGCCAGATTTGAATTCCAGTCTTCCTGATTTTCAGTCCTGTGTTCCATCAATTGCTATCACATGTGAGATACTAAGTGATAGGAG